ATATACACCATTTCTAAAAAAAAGTTTAAGAGACATGTAAATCCTAATTAAAATCCACAAAATCCCTATATATCTTATAAATTGATTTCGTTTCCTTTGATATAATCGTCATGGTCAAAAATAAAAATACATGTTATCATATAAAAATATTGTTTTATACTTGTATATTGTACAATCAATAGTCTATTAAGTTAAAAGTTGGGCTAGAACAAGGCTTAAACGTTATCGAAATAGTTAGAGAAATTGTTCAATATTATTGATAATTCCATTACAATATCAATGCTTAGACCTTAAGAACCCAACCCAATGATGCTCCTGATTAGCCCTTGGGGGTTTCTTCAGACACGGCTACACATACCATGTCTAAATTAATAACAAAACAAACTATATATCTGCGACCATTCTTGACTAAGAATCAAACTACTCATGTATAAAGTAGTTGTATACTTGGCTTCTCAAACATGAAAGACAAAAGATGATGGTTGAGTGTTGGAGGAGCCATCAGAAGTCAGCTTAAAGCTGTGAGAAGCTTTTGAATTGGAATGATCAATCTTGAGATCATAATCACCATGGAAGAGTGAAGCTTCAAAGTATCCATTAGCATCAGTGACACCTGTGGTTTGTCTACGAAACCCTCCCCATTCATGCAAAAGTTTGTCCACTACGTCTCCGGTCGGTAGGTTCTTGAAGTTTCCATCGGTCAGGCACATTCGGTAGCAACCTGATGGAGAATAACCTGCCCATGTCACGATTCCTTTCACTTGNGNATGCGCGTGGCCTTCCCTTAAGACCTGTTCGTAATACTTGGCCTGCAAGAAAACTGAACATCAGACCGATATAAGAAGTGATCAAAACTGCAAATAAAAGAACATGGGTGGGGACAAACAGAAATTGAGGAAAATGATGGTATGTATGGAACAAAATGGAACCGGGACAGATCTCAGATGGGACGGTATTTTTTTGTGAACCGCGGTTATCACAGATCTGAGTTACCTGGACGTTTTGAGGAGCTTCGACATCGACCTCAGTAAGCCAAATAGGCAAACCGGTAGCAGCAAGAGTGTCAAGAGCTGATCTCATATACGGAAGGCTAGGAGTCTTGAAATGAGATTCAAGACCAATCCCTAACGATATGTTTCCCGCGACTCGAATAGATCTAAGCTCTCTAAGCTTCTGCAAATACCTTTTTGGACTCGAATCCGGATCCCTCGGTTCCTCTAACGTATTGTACTCATTTATAAACTTAGTTGTCGTTGGATCGTACGCTTGAGCCATCTTATAAATGTTATAAGANGCNTTAGGACCCATCTTTGTCTCAAAGTAGTNAAAATGAAGATTCTCATTCACAACATCCCAACCNGCAAGCTGGCCTCTGTATCGCGAAGCCACCGAGTAAACCCTTCNCTTCACNGCANTGTAGAACTCGCGGCCAGAGNGAGCATTCAACCATTGAAGTTGATACTTAGGGTCGTTCCATACAATATTGTGACCACGTACCGCGACACCATGCTGCTTGAAGAATTTCAGCATTNCGTCTGCGGTNGAGTAATCTTCTTTGCCTCTAATGTTTTCCGTGCTGTACCATTTCATCTCGTTCGCGAAAGTTGTCACAGTGAACCTTTGAGTGAACCAGTTTTGGTATGCTTGGTTCCCAAGTATGTTCTTTTCTACCTCGCATCCGAATGGGAAACCTAGTTTCCTCTGTTCTATGGAAACGGTTGCTTTCGGGATCGGTTCACCTTTGCTATTCACGGCTCTGATTCTCACGGTTCTCTTTCTCTCCTTTTGAATGCTTAGTTCATGGTGCAAGTTCCACTCTTCTTGTGTGAATGGTTGCAGCGAGACACTATCAACCCAAATCTCAACCGTTGTGTCGTCGCTCTACACATGAACAAGGAAACAGGACTAATCATGGCTGAAAATTTTATTCGCGGAATGCGGTAACTGGCATCTATTGTGTCAGGTTAATACAATAATTCAAAATTTCGAAACAATCTAAGTCACTATATAGATACCTCGAAGTAGAGCTCGGCAGGACCAGATTCATCAACAGTGAGACCACCTTTGAGCATGGACCAGCATTTGGATTCAGCAACAACCGAACCGGCATGCTTATATTCACCGTTCTTCTTGAAAACGGCTTTCACAGGAGCCTTCCCTTTGTTTACTTGTAACCAAGCTACAACGAACATAAAAACAGAGTAGATGAAAATAGGGTTTATAAAATTTAAAGATTGTGTTCCAAGAAACACAAAATTTGAGTTATGTATTACCAGAGAAAGTGTAGAGAAGTCCTTTTTGTAAATAAACCTTCTGTGAAACACTGTCAAAAGCTTGCTTCCTATCTCGTGCAACAACAAACTTATCGTTTCCAATTTCTCTGAAATCGACTTTCGCATTTCCGAATGGTGTCCAGGCTTGTGGACCATCTCTTAGGTCAGGGTTCACAATGATTCCTCCATTGTACTGTGGTTTTAAAGGTTGCGGTAAACACTGCACC